ACAACTGAAGGAGTGAGGCTTGTGGTGCCCTTGAAGGCTCTAAATATTCATGCTAGGTTTAGGTTGTATTTTCCTTTGGTGAGCAATAATGGGATGAAGGAGCTCACCTGTGCAGATTTATGGCCCATTTTAAAGTCAGGAGCTGCGCTTGGGTTCTGTAAGGGAGAGATGCTTTGTCTTATACTTTTTTAAAAACATTTTTTTGTTGTCGTTTGGTGGATAGATATTGGGTTTTTTCCTCAGAGCAGACAAAAAGTTTCTTTAGTACCAGTGTTTGTCTGAACCCTCATGTGCCTGGCCACTTATTCATGGTAGGGCAGTCAAGGAGCCTTGAGGAGGGTCTTGGTCAGCCTGTCTGGATGAGGGTTTGCTGTGAATCTCATTCATTGATAGATCAACGTATGCTGATTTTGGTGGCGGTCAAAGAGGCAACCGTTGGGTAACTTGTTATAAATCACCCTTTGCTTGTATATTAAAATCATTTTGCTCAGAAGAAAGTTGTTATGAACTGTTGTCTCCACTGGTAGCTTGGGAGAGGAACCTTAACAACAGATTCAAGTAAACCGGTTTTGGAATATTACAGTATCAGGGAGAAATCATTGGAAATGATGCACAAAAGCTAGCAGTGTGCTATAGGGATGCTGCGTTACATGATACAGCATGAAAGGCTGTGCGGGAAGACAGGGCAGAGATCAGTTCCATTAAAATAGCAGGGGGCCATCCGATCTGTTCTTTAGCTTCCTGTTGGCACCTTAATTTGCTTGTGAGATCGTGTAGATGGAGCCCTGAAGCGAGTCAGTAAAATTTAATGGTGCCTGTGAGGAACAGGCTGCCTTATACCTGATTTTTCCTTCTTGGAGCAGATCAGTAGTTGAGGGCTAAGCAGTGGACTGTGTCTTTTTTTGTTGTTGTTTGTTTTGGTTTTTTTTTTTTTTTTGTTTCCTAGAAATGCCTGGTGGGGAGAATTTTAGCTGCCTGTTTACAGTCCTTCTTCCTGGGGTGGCATCTGGGGAGCACAGAGTAAATTTCCTGCTCTTTTCTTGCTGGGGAAAGATTGTCAGATGTAAGGAGGAGAGTGCAGAAAGGCTGGACACCACAAATTTAATTTACTTGGTTTTATTGCAGTATAATTACACTTGTACTTCCCTGGTGGAGCAGTAGTCTGAGAACAGCCAAGGTACCCCAGAGTCAGAGGTATCAGGGCTAAAACTGTGCACGATGTGAAGCATTTCCTGCTTCCTTCTATACCGAATGGTACATCCTAGCCATTTTGCTTTCTAGATAATTCTCTTCCAAAAACTAAATAGTTTTTTTTTTCCTCAATTTAGTGGAACACTGAATTTTTTTAAAGTTATTTTGTGGTCCACGTCTGTTTCAGGAAGGAGGTTAAACAGGATTTCATCTTTGCTTTAGATAGTATTGTTGATAACCACAAGGAGGCTGCAAATCTGAAGAAAAGGAGACAGGTGGATGGACAAGGCTTTGCTCTACTTGCTGTGTTGTATTTGTGATTCTGATATTTTTTGTATGTATTTTTCCCCAGTAATTTTACAGAAATATTGCAAGTAACAAAGTGCTTGTAATTCCTGAGATTCTCAGTCTGTCTTTGTACTGGACCATATTTATTCATCAAGGCAATAGCAGACCCTTTTCTAACTCTAAACAATCCTCCTCATGTGAATATTCAAGTGCTTTTCAGTAACTAGTTATCCTACATAATTGCTAATTTTTCTCTGAGGGCAGGAAGTTTTGCTTGTGTCTAACAGAAAGAACCTGAGCCACCAGACTGAGTGCATTATTCCTCTGTGTTAAATGCACAACCTGCTGCTGCTGAAGTAGGAATTTTACTCCAAGCAGATTCCAGCTTTACAATGAGAATATCACAGAGTAGCTACTGCTGGTGACACTCAGTGTTTTTTATGTACAGGAGCCCTTCTGTTTTCATTTCACTTCATTACATGCACTGTTCATTTTGCTATTTCGCTCTAGCTCCATATCCAAGTAGACCTCCTGGAGAAGCTAATAGCAGGAGTGTAAACCCTGCTGGGACCTACCTGTGTCCTGCCATTTGGTTGCTGTGGAGGAGTTACTGACTCAGTAGCAGGAGTTCGTCAAAACCGGAGCACTTCAGTGGTTGCTTGTGGTATTCGCAGATCTCAATGCAAAGTCCTTATCAAAGCGTGTGACATTTTAGGTTGGCATCTGACTTCTCCTGTGTGTACATTTGTTAATTTTAAGGATTTACTGAAGAGTTTAGATTCTTCTCATAAATTGCTTGGTTTCTGCTATTAATTATTTACAAACCCATGGTGTCATGTCACATTTCAGGTATTGTGTGACTTAGCTGTCCTGCTGTCTGTCCTCCCCAATTTCATTGAATGAGTGTGAAACCATGTAAACTGTAAAATATCTGAGTTCCTCAAAGATTACTGGGATATCTGTGGAAAGAAGTGAATAGTCAAACATATTCATGATTTTGTCTGTAAATCTGGTCATTGTGGTACTAGCAGTAATAGGTTTTGCTTATGGTCAAACTTGAATACACTGGCTTTAAAAGTTTACTATACAATAGTATAGTATTCTAAGTGGCACTAGAAACTAACCCTACCCGGAAAACAAACAGTGAATATCTGTTATATATTTCCAGATAGCTTCAAAATTGCTGAGATTTTTCCTTAATGGAAGAACAGTAAGATCAATATTTGGCTGGAATTGATTTGAAGTGTTGATACTGAGATAAAAAGAAGGAAAATATCCTGATTTCACTCAGAGAATTAGAGGCATAATTGGACCACAGCTTGCGATGGATAGTAATGGTTAGCATGGTGAGATGGATTTCAAGCTGTATCTGATCTGGCTATTTAGATTTGTTCCCTGCGTGTTTTTTAGGCGTAGAGTAATGCGTGGACATGGGGGAAGGGCCATTTCCTAGATAGTCAGATCTATTGCCAAACTCTAGATTATGGAAAAACCTTGTTACCCAGTTGGTAAAGATGTAAGGTATAGACTTTTAAAGCATAAATCTGCGTTTTAAACAATGACCTGAACACAGACAGGATTTGAAGTTCTGCGGCTCTGAGGATGGATGTGAAGCATCGGAGGCTTCTGTGGCCACCGCTATGTGCTTTTGTAGCCTCATTTCTTCTGCCGAGCTGTTGTGTTCTTCACATATCTGTGAAGCTGATGCGAAATATTCTGATTATTTGCCCAGTAAAGCTCACCAGCCAGTCCCATAAATCATCTCCAAGGGACAATAATGCTTTTGATGAAATCTGCTTAACCTTTTTACAAGCACTTAAAAGGAGGTCTTTTATCAGAATGAGATGCTTTGATTTTTTTTTTTAAACTTACTTTGCATTAATGTATTATGTATCCGTACACCATGGAATTTTAAGTGAAAATGAAATGCTTTGATTTCATTGATATCAAATGTTTTAATTGCATAAAAAAGAACTTTGTAGAAAAAAATAAAACCTCACATATTCATTTTTTGAATGTGACCAAATTTTAAACTTATAGAATTCACTGTGAATCTTCCGTTCCCACACCACTCGACATGTATGCCAAAATGTATTTGTGGAACTGCACCAGTTATAGTGATAGATTTAATGAAGCAGGAGATAATTTCATAGAAGGAAAATTGTGTTTGTGAACGGAATATTCCTGTATACAGGAACAGAATCTGTTTTATGGCAGGAAGGTCCTGCGACTCTTGTTCAACCCAGATTTTCAGAATGACTATTCTATCTAGATGTCAGTCTCAGAGTAAAGAACTCTGAACTCCTGCTAAGAGGTTTATGTTATGAAGAACAGATAACAAGAAGGAGAGGAACAAGGCTGTCATGGCTGTTCTGGAATATCTCTTTTAAGTAGTGATTTTACATGTAGGGTAGTCTAACCTTTGAAGTTGATCAGTTCACAGCAATAACATATAACTTCCTAACATGAGCCCATTTTCTTTTCAACTTTTACAAAGAGAAGCTTAGTTTAAACATACGCAGTTACTTGCTTAGAATTAAACGTTCAACTGGAATCTCCCTATGAAGATGGAAAGGGGGAAAAGCTGTAGATTGAGATGCAAATGGAGCTTTCTAATTGACTGCTGGAAGTGGGATGCTCTTCTCCTAATACCATGTCTTTGAGCCTTCTCAGAGCTAAATGTCTACTAGTCTTCCAGGCAGTCTCTGCCAGTCCTGTGGAGACAGATGCATTTAATAAGACACATGTCTTCCTTCCTGGGCACCTGCCTTAGGGGGGGCTGGAAAGTCCTTGGGAGGTGTTTGCTTGCTGCTGAAGTGTCTTAGACTGTCTTAGGCTGTATGAGACTGCTCCCACCAGGACACTGTAAGCTGTCTGTTTTCTTAATATTCTTTTCTTGGTATTTAGAAGAAATTCCAAATACCATATTTTTCTGAGAGTGGAAATCACTCTGCTTTCCGCCTTACTGCTTACGACATCAGCTCAGGTGCATAATAACAGCTCAGAAAAGCACTTCTGTAATGCCTTATTACCGAAGGGTGGTTTGTGGTAGTTTTAAATCATTTGCAGTTCATTTTGTTATTTTATTCTGTGTTTTTCATGAAATAGGAAATAATCCTGATGTGATTTAGGAAGCCCTTCAGAAATATTGGCACTGTTGACCTTAAACATAAGGTGAAAATAGCACCAAGTGTATACAAGTGAAGTTACACATTGTAAACTTGTAGCAAATAACTTTAATACTGCTGGGCACACTTTTCAAAAGTAACTTAGAAGTGACTTTCTCAAGAGTGCTTTGAGCCTTTTGGCGTAACTTTTTATAAGTCTTGTTGTAGTTTCCTGAGTCACTTCACAGGTAAAAGCTTCTGTCATCCTTACTAGTAGCAAATAGCTCCATGATGTTTGTGTGTTTTTTTTTTTTCGTGCAGCGCAGGGGAGCATATGGCTCTAGGTCCATTGTGTTTGTTTTTTTTTTTTTTTTTGTTTTTTTTTTTTTTGTCCTTTCTGTCTTCTCCAGCTCCCTTTTTTAGATACTGGATACTTCTTTTATCACAATGGCGTTGCCAAAGCCAGGAGAAGACACAGTCTTCAACACAAGCTTCATCTGGAAAAGGATTCCAGGGTAAGTGTTTCATCATTATGTGCACCTACCATGTTTTCTTTGTGCTACAGACTATTATTCAAGTGATAAAGGTGACCATCAAATCTGTGGTTATGGCTACGTTTTTTTCCCCATTCTTGTTTCAAGCTTGGTGACTGCTGTATGCACACACATCCCAAACAACTACTACTTCACTACTACAAATACTCTTACATTTTCTGAGATGTATCCTCTCTCTTGTAAGACTCAGCAATGCCATAGTCTCCAGGACATGGCAGTGCACTCTGTGCTGTGGGGAGGGGCCGTCCAGGGTACATCCCACAATTGTGTGTGTGTGTCCCAATCCTGCTCGTCTGTGGGTCATCCAGACCAGAATACCTTGTGGTGTGCAGGCACTTTCTCTGTACTCACACTGGGACGTTTTCTCAAGGAATGGTGTGCACCCCAGATGCTAAGAGAGTGTATGCTGTCAATCTTCAGTATTTCTTCTAGAGGCCCTCACAGTCTGGAAATGGTGTGCTTGGTTTTCAGAAGCATAAATCCCTCAGACAGGAGGGAAAGGCCTCTTTTGCTACAAGCTGGTACTAGCAAATTCTTTTTTCTTTTCTTCAGAGTTTTTAAACCTGTATAATACTGGACTGGAGTGGGGCCAGGTAGCACAAAAAGTGTGTTTACTGCCCAAAGAAAGTAGATAAGCCCGAGGAATGGTATCATGACAGCAAATAGATATTTTAATCCTTCAGTAGAATTTAAGCTCTCTGCACTGTGAGCAAAGAAGAGAGGGGAACAATTTTATTCCAGACGGAATTTTATTGCCAGAATTTGTATGGTATTGGAACACCTATGAAAATGAAAAACTGAGTAGGAAGAAAAAAGAAATAGATTAAATCAGATTGTAATTTTTGTTGTGACACCAGAGCAAGCAAAGTCCAATGAATTCCCAGCTTAATTTTCCTACTTCTGTGGAAATTTCAAGTGGTTCTAGGCTCCTGCAGCTGAGAGCCATGTGGGTGAACAACACAGGTTCCAGGTGCTGCCTACCCTTGTCACTTCACCTGAGAGCTGAGTGCTGGCAGGTTCCCTGGGGCTGCTGATGGTCTTCCAGTGCCTTTTCGTGGCCCCCTTCTCTAAAGCTGGTGCCAGGTACGGGTGAGGGACTATGAGGAAGAGACCTATTCAACCTGCCTTGAATAGAAATTCTCAGGCTTCCCTCATTTTGTTTACCAAGCAGGGATCAGAAAGTAAACTGTTCAGAAACCATCTACAATTGGTGGATGCTAAGCAAATGTCTTGAGAGGTGTCTTTCATTTCCCTGAACAACCCAATCTTACTGAAAGCCATTTCAGAAAAAGCATAAAACTGTGTGAGTACATTGCAAACTAGTGACGGAGTACAGTCATTGTACGGGTGACATTGTACCGGAAATAAGTATTTCTGTAAGCCTCTGAAAATTTTACAAATATCTGTGATATTCGTATTAATCCACCAATTCTCATTGCAGCCTCAGTATTACATTGCTGAGCTCTCCCATACTAATTCCAAACTGGCCCTTGCATTGCCTACCTCTAGACTAAGTGTCTGCAGTGCTATTAAGAGCAGTTTAAATGAATCTACCTTCTTGTTCAGAGATGTTCTCTTTGGCAGTCACCTGGTATTTGTGGTCTTTAGGCTCTTAAGTTGGCTTCTGTCATAAGCAATGAAAACTTACTTTTGCTGTTAATCTTCACTTTTTCCTGGTGCTGCATACAAATGGCTTGACTCTCCTTGGCTCCTTCCTTTGATCTCAGGGAGTAAAGCACTGTGTTTAAATAACTAATATCTCCCATGTGAGGGAAAGGATGATCCTGGGTGTATCCTGACCTCTTGGGTTACACTGGGAGATGGAAGCAACATTTGATTTCTACATGCAACATGACATTTTCTCATTGAGCCCTCCTACTTACTCTGTCCTGTTGGATAGTCCTTGAGCTCTTATGATGCCGTATCAGTTGGTGGCTACTGCAATACAGTTTGAGAGCAATTAAAATAATTACTTGTATTTCCCTTCTTTCTTTTATTCACGGAGTTTGGAGAAGTGATTAAAATTCCTGTCATATTTGCATATAAGTAAAAACGTGAGTTGCATTGACAGTACTAAATTTCAAACTCCAAAAATAATTTCTAATTTAATGGCAGCTTTCTAGACCATTTACATTCAATTTTACTTAGCAACAAATATCAGCACTGTCATAGTTTATATGTTAACACATGAAGGCAAGAATAAAATGTTCTTGTTGTCAGGCTAGCCAGGAAGCAAACTTCCACCACAGGGCCTTACAAATCTCACAGGAACCATTATGGTAAATGCTGTAGTTGCTTAACCCTACCCAAATGTTGTGAGAAAGTGGGCTGCAGTTATTCTGTACACTTTTCACTTTTAAGGAGATTACAGTTCCTTACTAATTTTCATCATTAGTTGAAAAACAGCACAGATGTTCACTCAATTAATTAATGTTCTTTAATCAAGTAAGTCCCTTGAGGAACCATGTCAGTTTTTCAAGAGTCTGGGGAGATAGATGGCAGAACACTATGCAAACAGGTTACTGCATCATTTCATGCTCTGCATGTCTTTCAAAATGCTTAAAAAAGCTTTGTTGTGTAAAATTTACTGTATGTTTTTACCAAAATAATTTGGAGATATGCTAAGCATATACAGTAATTGTGTGATAAACATGATCTCTGTCAAGGGGGCAGGAATAGAGCATTATTAAGATGCCTTCCTAGAGATCCAGCAAGAACTGAATCTTTGTTCTGAGGAGCAGCTTCAGGTACAGTGGTTTTGACATTATTTAATACATTAGTGTTGCTGAAGCCTGAAGCAGTTTTGGCAACAGGTGAAGGCATGTGTAATAGTGTCACATAGTGTGTTGTCCTATTGAACTGTTAATGAAAAACTTGCAGACACATGAAGCACTGTGATTTTTGCTGTCAGTACTCTCCTCTCGGTAATCCTCACTGTCAGGATGGCAAATGCCACAGTGAATTGAACTACTTCAAATGGAAACTGTTTAGTTATTTAAGTTACATTCTCTGAGGTACAGAGAACCTTCCAGGAGAGGTTTGCTCCAAAACAACTTTTCTGCATCAGTTGCAAGTTTCCATGATTTCCAGGTGCACTTGTATTTTGTTATTTTACAGTAGGTACCTTTGTCACCAAATAGATTTTGGGCAGGAAAAAAGTTCTTTTAATGTTTTTACATGTTAAAGCTGGAATTTTTAATGAGATAAGACTTAGCAGCAAGATATCCAATATTCTCCATGCAAAACTGCATTTTCTTCTGCCTTTATCTGTTAATTGTTTCAGCTGAAACTTCTCAGACAAAAGACCAAGCCTATTAGGCTTGGTTCATCTTGGGAAACTTTGCTTAAGTAGCTGCTGTACTTTGCCCTGGAGCTGCAGGCAGGGAGGCAGTCAGTCCTTGCCATGACCCATGGGCACAGGCAGCTGGGAGGAGGAAACAGCAGGGTGACAGCAGCGAGCAAGGGCCAGGAGTGACATAAAGCCAATGCGAAGCCAGGGCAGGATGGGACTGGACATCAGCATGAAGCCGAGGAGAGAATAAGTGAGACAGGCTGGAACAGCCCAGAGTCAGAAAAAAGGTTGAATGATTTGGGCATAGAGCCAGCCTGTGAGCTGAGGAGGACATGGAATAGACTGGAGAGACTGGGAACAGGGTGTCCACATCGACATCAGTGCAGGTCACAATGCAACCTTAGAGCTAGGTGACCTGTTCCAAGGGACACTTCCCTGTGAACAAGGGGAAATACAGCTTCTGTAAAGAGCAAACTTTGTTTTTAATTGTGAGGAACAGTGGTATGTTTCATCAGTGTGATTGGTCTGGAAAAGTAAATTGGAAATACAGAGATATTTCGTACTGTCTGGTTTGTTAGGTTTCCTGTCTCTGAAAGTACAGCAGAGGCAGGATGGGAAGCAGAGACCTTTCCTGCTCCACCATAGCTAAAGGAAAACCATGGAATTTGCTTCATTTTGATTTTTCAAAACTGAGTCAGATTCTAGTCTCCTGTGGAAAGACTCAGCTGTATTATTAATAAATGTTTTGAAAAGTGGCCACATAAGTATAAGGAAAGAAAAAAATGCACAGTCGTTATGTTACCTTTCAGAGCAATATTTTTGTATTTTTGCTATTGTTGAGTACTTTTTGTTAGTACATAGTCTTCCACTGAAGGAGCAAGAATTGAAACACAGTTTGTCCTCTGAAAGATTATTATTCTTTCTTTCAAGTTTTAGATAAAACTATTTTCCTCCCACACAGTCTCTCCTGTCAGACATCTGCCAAGATTAACCCCACTCAAGAAAAACGCTTTAATATACAGGGAAGAGCCAAGTCCCATTACTGATATCTATATGTGAGTGCACCTGTTTTGGTGTTGGGGGAACAAATATGTATATGTGTGGAGGTGGAAAGGTGAAATGAAAATCTTCCACTGAGAGTGAGTCTGGCACTTGGATGATGATTTCTTTGGAAATAAACATCCCAGTGATGGCAATTGTTATGTTGCAGAATGGGAGTAGAAAGGGAGACTTGGCTGATCCCAGACTCCTGTACCAGCATGGGTGAGGACAGATGTGTAGCTTCTTCAAGGCATAATCTGTAGGTGCCCAGCGTAAACAGTACTCCCAAACTGCTTGTGTCATGAGACAAGGGAAAGAAGATGGGGCTGTAAATACAGACGATCTAAGCTTTTAATTAAATAAATTGGAATCTTCCGTACCCTTCCTCACCTTGGATCCCTTGCATGCCTCCTTAACATGACTAGCTTGTGGTCGGATCATTGCAACCCATGAAAGCAGAAGTGCCCTTTGATGCCAGGCAGGGGGTTGCCAAGTGCTGCCAGAGCTGGATATTTCAATCATGGTCACCTTTAACAGGGGTATGGAGGGACAGCAGGGAAAAGCACTGCCACTTAACAAGCAGTAGCCCTTAGCAGTGGCAGTGTAATGTAAGTCAACTTTCAGTGTC